TATTGTCTAGTTCTTATTTTTATTTACTACAGCTCAGTTATTGCACACTTGTTTCCATTGAGTGCAAGTACACAATGTTAATGAAAATTATTACTAAATAGTTACACATGCCATTAAAAATGGCATTTGATGTCCTGATTAGAAAGATTTTTTTAAAACTGACTGAAAACCATTTCTTTGAAACAATACAATTTTGAATTTTAAAGAAAATTTATTTTATTTTTTATTTACATGATGTAGAAACATTTTAGAAAATGCTTGCTTCTTGATTAGCCTTTATGACTAAAAACTGGTGATTTTTACATATTTTTCTTAATATCATGATCTTTTAAATCTTTTGAAATTACAAAAATCATAATTTTTTCCTAATTTTATTTGAATCAAATGCAAGAAAAGCTTAAGTGTTTGTATTTAATTATATGAAACTTGATCAGCCTACATTTTAAGTTAAATCATTATTCATAAAAAAAAAAATTAATTATAAATTATAACTTAATGTGGTTAATTATTATACACAGTGATGTAATAATTACATCAGTTATATCACAAGGTATGTAACCTAAGCATTGTTGTATATTAAGTATAAAAATAAATTTCAAATAGAAATTTACTATGAGTTTTTTTTATCAAAACTAAATTAAAAATCTTAAAAGAAAAAATATATATGTTAATAATTCACATTTTTTTGTAATTTGAAAAGTATATCCTTATGCTTGCTATTTGTAATTTAGATAACTTTTCTTTATCTCTGTTAAAGTAGAATGTATGGCAATTTTTGCCAGTTGGCTTCGTAAATAGTTTTTAAAAATCTAATTTCTGTTGGTGCGTAGGAGATGGCATCAGCCCAAGAAATGATGGTATTACCAGTAGAAGCCTGTTGATACATGATGGTTTAGACAATCTATTTGAGGATATGCTATTGTTAGTACTTTTTGATGTTGTCGTTTTCTTTTCTGTTTATTTCTCCTCGCTCATTCTTTTGATTTCTTCTTTCTTTTGTCTTTTATTTATAATTACTAAGTTTGTGGAAATATGCTTAAGCATAACTGTCACTTGTGAAAATACAATTGGTAAATGCGATTCCCTTAATAGTTCTACTACTGTAAATATTTTCTACTCTAATTTCTTTTTCTTGTAGATTTGTCCCCCAAAATTCCAGCATACAATGTTTGAAAAGTGACAAAAGTATCTTATATTTTATGGTAGTATAATTACTACCTACATCGTTTTTATTATTTATTTTATAGTTATTTTATCTTTAAATTTTGGGAGGGTAGCTTAAATGAAATGGAGACATTTTGGCTCGGCTCCAGACTACTTATATACCAATATTTGAGAATTTGACAGTCGCCATTTTGATAATTTATTGTTATTCTTTTTCTCTGAATTAATTTCTAAGTTATTTATAAATAACATTCTTAAAATATTTTTAACTTTTTTTTGTTTTTTTTTATTAAAAGAATTGTTATAATAACAGGAACTTAAGACAATTTTAAACTGATTAATTGTTATATAAAATTTTTACTTAGTAATAAAACACACTTGGAATTGAAATAAACACAGTCAGTTATGTGTCATGCATGATACACACTTAGGCAATCATGTATCTTTTGATACATGACTGATGAGGCAGATTTTTTCTGAAGTAGGTTGCCATTTCTTTGCCATCCAAGGCCATAGAACCCGGTCTGTCCTGCTATTTACCCATAGCTGGGGTGGAGAGAAGAGGATTCATACCCTTTTGCAAGGGTATTAGCACATAAGTGAATGCAATGGATTTGACTGGAATTCGAACTTGGCTCTCCCATTCCTTAATCTGAGCTGCTATCCATTACTCCACTATACCTCCTCATATAAATATAAGCACAATGAATTCATATAAAAATGAATTGTTTTTCTTGATGCATCACAATCAAAAGAAAAAAAGGATTTAAATAATGGTATTATCTTTTGATTTCCCTTAATAAATTTTTGCCAAAAATAAAAAATAAAAAGTTGAGGATTTTAAATTGAGAACACTTTTGAAAATTATTTTTTCATTGTTTATTCATTCACTTTTGTTTGGTTTTTACTATTATGCAATTATCACATTTTCTTCTTGTATTAAAATCTTTATTTTCATAAAAATCTGTCTGGTTTATCAGCTTTAATTTTTTCTACAGGAATTTGTCATTTTAAATAGCTATACTCTTAGTGATATCTCTAATAAGTAACAAATTAGCATTAATATATAAATAAAGGTAAAAGGTTTATATAAAAAAAAAATTGTTACTTTTCTTATATCTTAGTGGCTTTATGGCCTTACATGGGGTGAATTTAATTAAAAATAAAAAGATGTTAATAGAACCTTAAAGTACACTAAAAAAAAAAAAAGAAACAGTTAAAATTGCTGGGTCACATGATGAGAAAAACCTGGAAAATTTGACACTTTACAGGAAGTTGAGACAAGGAGGTATAGATAGAAGCAGTAAACTACCTAACGAGTTTGTGTGAATGAGTGGGGACTAAAAGGAATGGTGAAAAGTCATATGTTGCTTTGAGCTATAAGGGACAGGAAGCTATAGAGAGCCATCATCAACCATGTCCTGGAGGGATGTGGAACATAAAAGATTCTCATTGTAATAATCAGATCTGTAATGTTAACACCTAAACTGAAAAAAAATTATTTAAATTTTTGAATTGCTCTATTTGATGGCATATAAGGACCACCTCCTCTATTTAGGTAATATTTCAGTATTATGGGGTTAGGCTTGGTATAAATACTGGTAGACTATGGTGTCTGGATAAAAATTAGCGTAGTATATCTCAACTTTGCATACAAGACCTGGGAGATGTTTTTTGTTGTTTGTTTTTTAGAAAATTTGCCAGCACATACAGTATTGTATCCAAAAATACTGAATGGATTCAACACTGAGTTCTTTTGAAAAATATAAATTGTAATATTTGCAATATTTGTAATACATTTAAAATTTGTCTAGTAAGCTGAATTAAAATATCAGTCATTTCCTTTAACCATAACCACTCTGCATTATTAATATTAATTCCCTTTCCACTGCATTCTTTCTTTTTCAAGGCTTCTCAATTGCAATATCCTGATTGTTAATTTAACTCAAAGTTGATTTCTGTTGCCATAGCAGGATATGACAACACATCTAAAAAATTCAAACACACTATTATTCAGGGATCAGAATCACCTTCAGTAGCAGGATAAACTTTTTGTACAGCAAATGATGTCACATACAGAGAGATAAAGGTTAATCTTAGACGAGTTGGAATGACTCCAAGTTTTGAATATAAAATAAAAACTTATGCCATCTTATCAGTGTGTCTAATCAATATTTGCATTTTTTTAAGTAGAATTTATAGATTATTTTTGTATTTTTGTGATTTCCTTTTCATTATTGTCTGGTTATAGTTTCATTCCTTATAAAATTGCTAACTTAAATCAGATTCTTTTATTTTTGTATTTGTTTTTCAAATATATTAAAAAATTATGAAAATAAAAGCTAAAAATAATGAAGTTTAACACATTGACTGCCAACCATGAGTTAACTCATGGTTGATAGTTTTTATTATGATGCCAACTATAAGTTGAACTCAGCATTTTCTGATATATTTTCATCTGCAGGCACCAACAATGAGTTTATTTGCAATGATTCTTTTAGCATGAAAACAATATTAAGACTTCAGTTGAAGCTATAAATGAACTCATAAAAAGTTGGCTATTATAAAGTTAGCATTTGATGTCAGATTTCATAATTGGCAATCAGTATGTTAATAAATATTGAGACACCTTTTTCTTAATATTATTGTCAATTCAAGCCCAAATTATATAATTCATTTTTTTTCCACCTCAGGCAAAATTTTCTTTTATCTGCGTCATAGAATCAGTGATGATCAAGAAATCAATATTTATTCATATTTTCGATTTTTATGTATGGGGTTTCAATTTTCAAGGTTTATGAAATAATTTCAAGGAATAACTCCTGTCAGAAAATCTTTAAATATTTAATTATATTAACTTGAATACTACCAATGTATATGTGAATCTATAGCACTCTTTCTTTAGAGACTGCAGTCATCAAATTTATTTAAACAGTTATTTTATTTCTGTTCTATGAAATCTTCAAAAATATATTCAATATATTCCGATAGTGTATGCCATATTTGTGTACAATTTGACCATCTGCTTGTGTTTATAACACAGCATAACTACATTTTATTATGTGATCTCTATTTTACTAAATTATTTTGGCCACAATGATGAAGCCTTATTCCATGAAGAAATATTTGCCCATTGTTTATACAGTAGCAGTCTCTGAGAAATAAATTAATATTAACAAGGATGTCAAGTAAAAACATTGTTTATCCATCTTGCACATTTATAAATCTACCATTTGTCCATACAGTGAATATTACTGCCATATCTGGTTTGGTGCTCTGCTAAATATTGACAAAATCAAAGAAAATCCCTCTACCATGACATGGCTTCCCTCTGTCTTTTTCTAATGAGCTCTCTTCCTAGTACTAGAATGACTATTAGGTTTCATTGTTTTAATGTTAAAATAGATGTGACCATAAGTTCTATTCTAATAGTTTATTTTCTCACACTTCTTACCTATGGAACACTTCTGATTTCTTGCATCCCTGCTACTTAGTATCTTCAAAAATTTAGATTCAATGTCAATCATAATCTTCTGTCTTCCTGGATCCTGTTCTTTCATTGTCTTTTCTCATCGTTAAGTCTTCCACCCCCAGTAACCCCTCCCCCTTGCATCTTAGTGGCATTATTGATATTAGTTCTCTCTTTTTCTTTGTGTGTGAGAGATGACCCCTCCTACACATATATAGCACTCACTTCATTTGTGTATAATATAAACCCTACATAATTTCAGCTTTTGGTTCTAATACAAAATTATTCTGATTGTGCACAAATAAATATGATACTTATTTCTTTTCATTATTGTTTGCTTATATTGTGAATCTCTTTTTCATTTCAGTTGGAATATGAGCAGAGCCGTGAGTTTTCCCATCTTATGTGGGAAACACATAAGGTGCGAGTTATCAAGTCTGGGACTCTCAGCAAGTTGGTGGAAAGTCTGGTCACTGTTAAAGGAGAAATGGATTCCTGTTATGTGAATGTCTTCCTTGCAACATACAGAACATTTGCTACCACCCAAGAGGTGCTGAACTTGCTGATTGAAAGGTAAAAATATCTTTCATGCTTTTTAATAATTTATTTTTGCATCAAACATTATATGATTATTCCTACTTTAAATTTTATATGATAAAAAACTGTATTTTTCCTATATCATCTTTAGTATATATTTTGAAGATGTGATAATTATTTTGAAAGTTAATAAAAAAAAAAACTCAAGTTGTTTTTCTTCACTATAATGACAATTGTGAAATTGAGTCTGAAAATTTTACCTTATCCACTGATGATAAGCTTCAAGTTGTCAAGTCAGACATCGATTGTCTCCCCTAAATTCTTTTTTCATAGAAAAATTCAAAAGTACAAAATTATAAGTATATTTTTTTTATCATAGTCATTTCATCTACAGCAAAGCGATAAATCCATTAAGATGCAAGAGATTTCTGAGGGTGAAAGACAATAGAGTGAAGGAAACTGAGTAAACATTATTGAGGAGAAAGGACAATAAAAAGAATAGGATTAAAGATGTTGTATCTAAATTTTTGACACGAAAGCAAGAAACTAGAAAAGAATTCCTATAGGTAAAAAGTGCAAGAAAAGAAACTATTAGAATAAAACTTAGTTATATATAGAGTTTACAGTTATATATTTATCTAGGTACCAAAGAGGGGAGCTCATCAGAACAATTGCCATGAAAATATTTGTAGAAAAAGCACAGGGAAGCTACATTACAGCACTGGGAATGTGACTGAAGCAGAGATGTCAGGTTAAGACCAATATCACTAAAATGTAATTAATAAATCAACCAAACCACAAGACAATAGCCTTGTGGATTAAAGCATTGGTTCATGAAGTTGATGACATAGTAATTGTAAGTTCAATCCCTGAGCTAGGCAGTGTGTAATTAGACTCAGTGGAAACAGAGCCAGCAATAACTTAGAAGTAATAAAAATAAGAAGATATACAAGATAACCATAGACATGGGCAGTGGAGTGAGAACTGTTTACTCCCAAAGATTAAATAAAAGGTTTGTTTTGGAATTCTTTGTAGATTACCGAGATCAACATACACCAGATGACGGTTGGGGGCACAGTGGCTGAAACACTGTGTTAACAACAAAAAATGAGGACAACGGTCAACATAAATCAATATTTGTATTTCAATTCATGTATATGACAATACCATAAAATAGTATGTATGTATGTATGTATGTGTGTGTGTGTGTATATATATATATATATATATATATATATATATATATATATATATATATATATATTATAATTAAATCCTGTTAATTTCTATCATATATATATATATATATATATATATATATATATATATATATATATATATATATTTTTTTAAATATCAAGAACAGTTTTGAAAGAAAAGATGTATGACAAATTGGAAAAAGTTTTTGTGCATGTTCCATCCATTAGGACTTCATTGAACTGGGTTTGTTTACATTGTTGTAACTACACATGTGCATGAACAAGAGATGCTATGAGTTATCTCTCTCTCTCTCTCTCTCTCTATATATATATATATATATATATATATATATATATATATATATATATATATATATATATACACACATTTTGTATTAGAATCAAATCCAAAATAGGGGAATTTTTTGCATTATATACATGAGTGTATTCATTTGGGAATAATTTTATTTACTTATATCCATAAAGTAATCACTTTTTTCATTAGAACTACTCTAAAGCAACATATCCCCCATAAATGGCAAACTACTAATTTTGCTTTTGGATTAATTTAATTACCATAAATGTCTACACTGAGTTTACAGCTAGTAGGTCATTTTTTGGCAATGTTTAACCTTCATTAAATCACATTCAAATTGATGTTACTAAAATATAAATTCCTTACACAAACAGGATCCAAACATGAAAAAAAAAAAGTTTTTGATGCTTTCATGAAGGTGTGTGGGTCATATAATGGATAGCATCTTGGAATAAAAAATAGAAAATACAAGTTTGTATTCACTTATGCACAAATACCCTTGGGAAATGTATGAATCTATCTCCTCCCCCCAGCTATAGGTTAAATAGTAGGGTTTGTATCTGGAAAAATCATTATTTCCCCAAAAAATTGTTTATGCAATATTGACTCATAAAAATAAAAAATTCTTCTGACAATCTAAAATATGTTTTGGCTTTAAATAATCCTACAAAAGGTTGGTAAGCCATAAAAAATCAACCAATCATAAAAGTATTTCAAAATAGATTCTATATTTAATTTCATTTTATTACTTTTGTGTGGGAAAAACAAAAAAAAAATCCCTGCAATTAAGTGTTGTGTGTACTACCCTTGAACACCCCAGCCAGGGGGGAAACCTGATTGGGAGCCCTGGGCAGTCCTTTGTGACCCTTGTTATCTTATTAACATTTGCTTTTTTCCTACCTACATTTATATATGTTACAAATTAAACTAAGCTCAGCTATCAAATGATGAAAAATTTTCATGGATTTTGACATTATTCTGGGGGTCATTTTTTATATATATATATATATATATATATATATATATAAAAATTCACTATTTTTATCCATAATGTTGAATTTCTAAAAACATGAAAAAGTATACTTTTTTTTCTTGTTTGTTCAATATAAAAGTTCTAGTTTTGGAACAAAGTAAAGTTATATTTGATACTCATTTGATAGTTGACAGTTCTCATAATTATTAATTGGTTTGTTAAATATTCACCATTATTATAAAAATGTCTGTGTATAATAAATGTTTCATTGTGAAACTTTGAAATTCACTGCTTTTATTATTATAATAATAATAGTAATCTACTTTAATTAAAATTCTTTTATATTTTTTCTCTCTCTCTTTTCTACAGATATAAGGTGCTCAAGTCCGAAGACAAAGACAAAAGAGAACTGCATGAAGGCCAGCTTAAGTAAGTTACTGACTTAATCAAATATTCATCCAAAAATAGAATAAAAAGTACATTTTGATTAGCTCATGTGTTCTGGCATTACTGTGCAAAATCATTGACTATGGTAGACATGACTCTAAAAACAGATGTTCATAATGTATTTTAAGGTGGGGGGTCAGGATGTAGTTTCTCATGTTCACTGGTTGCATTCGCCTTTTGTCAAGTACTTCTAATGTTCATTGTGCCACTTCTAAATTTTAGATTAACATAACATTTTTAATTCTAGGGTGATGAAATTTAGTTGAAGAATGTACTAATTTTTGCTCCCACTTACCACACATGATCTACATCCTTGTATAAGAGATCAAGAAAAGTATTGTATCTGCTTATCTGGAATTAGCCAATGGTTAGTCTGGAAAAAAAATTGTCACGCGCACTCTTGACAGTCAGAACTCTGTCCAGTAGCTTTTTTTATTATTATTATTTACATACTAATAGTAATTTATTTTATTTTATATATTATAAGGACTTTTATATGAAAAAGCTAACATTTTTGTAAAACTTTTCTTTTCTTTATTTATACTTACTCTTATTCCTTTATAGTTTGTATTCCTTCAGGATGTAGATGCTCATGACTCTTCACAATTTCCTATCTCTTGTTTCCCTAAGTAACTTTTGACCCTTTATTATCCCTCTTTGTCTCTGTTCTGCTATCCATTCACACAAACTCATTAAGTAGTTGATCATGACTCTCCATAACTTCCTATCTTTTGTTCCTCTAAGTAACTTGTGATTCTTTACCATTCTTCTGTCCTTGTTCTGTTATTCATTCACATAAACTCATTAACTAGGCTATTTGCCATTTCCTGCTCTGCTTCTCTTGCTTTCAGTATGACCTGTAAATGTCAAATTGTCTCGGTCCTATTTCCTAATGATATGTCCCAGAAATTTCAATTCTTTCTGATTGTAAGCATAAGTATCCTTTTTGTTCCTATTTTTCTTAAAGCTTCCCCGTTTCTCACATGTTTGGTTCATGATATTCTTGGTATCTCTCAGTAGAATTACATTTCTGTTGCTTAAGTTTCTTCTTTATCTGTGAAGAAATTGTCTGCCATTCACTGCCATACATGAAATTAGATATTACATAGCAGTTCAACACTCTTTTCATTGTTTCTAATGAAATTTTCCTATCTCTTAATACTTTTAGTTTCTGGAAAACCTCTTTCATTATCCCTCTGAGACTTAGACAATATCTGATCTAATAAAAATATTCTGACATTTAAAATTTTGTTTGGAGATTTAAACTTCTTGATAACGTACTTGATATTAAAAAAAGGTGATTATTATATTTTAATCAGTCCTGTTTTTCTGTCATTATTCCCTCTTAATTTTCTTAATTGCTATTGTCCCCTGCTCCACCCTGATCCAATGTGGTAGCACCTGTTAGAGTCCCAGTTATGGGCAAATAATCAACCCCCACAAACAAAAACTAGACTATGAAAGTATAAAAATACTAGCAATACATTTTTATATATATAAAAAAAAAAAAAAAATGACCAACAATACATTTTAATTGTAGTTTAAAAAAATACAATTGTGTTCATAATATTTAGATTTCAGTATTAAATAACCCGTAGAGGTGTTGATATGCCACTAAACAAAATCAACCAATATGAAAAAACTCTTTTATAACATTAATCCATAAATACTCTGCAATTTTTTAAATGGAATTGTATTCCAAAATATAACTTCAACAAAACTACAACATAAATCACACATTGCCACCTCTAGTAATTATGTTCACACAAACATATATGCACAAAAGCCAAGTATCATCTACCATGTATTCAATTATAAAAGCATATATCATATTTTATTACTTCAAAGATCCCAAGCAATTTAAATTTTGGCATTAAATGACCTATAAGGAGTTGATATGGTGTTAATCAATTAAAAAGCAATGCTAAAATTAACAATTCATTACTTAATATTTAAATAATATTTGCTTATTCATTTATTTCTTTTATTTTTACTTGTTATAAAAGAAAAAATGATATCCAGATAAGAAATTGTGAACTTTTGCTATATTACTATTGATTGATTTGTATTAAATAAATTGAAGTAGTATTATACAGAGTGCGACAGAAATACCTGCCACATTTTAAAGGTTGATAAAAAGAACATAGTAACTGTTATTAAAAATTATTTCATTGTTTTTTAAACTAACAGCTACAGTTTTTGTTCATTTAGTTTTAAGAATGACATCCTCCAAATGATGGCCTCTTTTCGCCATACACTGTTAGAGACGATTGAAAAGTTTTTTCCATGTCTGAAAGTTAGTGCTTCCATGTGGCTTTCTTTTAAGCACTGAATCTGTGGTCTTGAAATTTTCAACCTATTGCAATATTGATTTTTTATCCAAAACAGCATCATTCAGGTGTAACATGAAATGAGCAGGAAAAGTTCTATGCTGCAATTACAGATTCACCAATCTTATAAAAACGTTTCAATAGCAAACACATAGTGTGCAACAGTTCAAGCCATGTTGATAACTGTTGGTATCTAAAAAAAAAAATGATAATATATTCACTAGATGAAGATACTATTGCCACTTGCCTAAGTTCATTAGAACCACACAGGTGACAGTTTATAATGTGGGAGGTATTTCTGCCACATCCTGTATTTTGAATAAGCTACAAAGCCATGTCATTCTGCATATGCTATTTGAGCTATAGATTTCTTCTTTTATATTCCATGTCTTTTCAGGACATGAGCAATTATGGCTCTCTCCAACTTCCTATTCTTTGTAGCTCAAATAAATCTTTCTCCCCTTATTATCCCTCCCAGACCCTGTTCGGCCATTTGTTTATATAAACTCATTAGATAAATTAGTCAATGCTTCCATTTATCCTTCTTGCCTTCAATATTTCCTGTGAGCATCAAATTCTTCAAACCTTCTTTCCTCATTTCCAAAAGTTTCAACTGCCTCTTTATGATTCTAAGTACAAGTCTCTTTATTGTTCTCATCTTCCTTGAAACTTCATATGTTCTATCCATGATATACTCAGCATCTTTCACTGGATCCACATCTCTCTTGCTTCAATGCTCCTCTTCATCTGTGAGGAATTTTTTCAGCATTTACTGCCATATAGAATGATTTATATTGCATAGCACTCTTTTCTTTGTCAGGCTGGTAGCACCTGTTAGGGTCCGAACTATGGGAAAATAATTAACACCTAAAATGGGGTCAAAACACTATGAAAGTATAAAAATATATTTTCATAGTAAAGATATCAGCAGTACATTTTTATAATTGAAATTACTAATGCTCCAAAGAAAATTAAACTTTGGCATTAATTGACTCATAAGGAGTTGATATGCCTCTAAACAAACAAACTCTTCTCTTTTCTTTGTTTCTAATGAAATTTTCCTGTTTCTTAATACTTTTAGTTTTAGGAAGGCATCTTTTGTTGTTCCAATGCATCTTCAGATTTATCTGATAAAAATTTTCTTTTGTGTTTCCTTTCTGAGACATTCTAATTATGGAAACAAAATTATTTTTTGTACAGATGTCTAAAATACCTAAAATGTTGAGTTAAACAAAAGGAGAAATCTATAATTAAAATGTAAAATACAGAAATACCATAATTTCAATACATTGGGTAAAGTTGTCATTAAAGATCAGCAATTAGTGTAATTTTGGGACATGTGTCCTTGTATATCTGTGTTTCAAGAATTTTGTACTTGCAGTAATAAGATATAGAATTAGTTTTATTTGTTTTGTTTTTTTTATGAAGACAATGAAATTAACTCAAAGCCTTGTTTCCTAGAAACATTAATTATATGCAAAAGTCTGTTAGGCCTTTTTTTTTTTTTTTTTTTTTTTTTTTTAAATAATAATCACAAGTAACTTTTGCAAACTTAATATTTAAACATTTGTTTGTAAATTTAATATTTAAACATTTGTAACTTTTTTTTTCTTTTTACATTAATGCAAAAATAGATTGTGTGGTTTATGAACATCTTAAAATAATGATATTAACTTTACTTATAAAAATTCCCAGTGGATCTGTTTATATAAATTTTATTGTTAAAATATTAAGCACATGGAATTTTCATGTTGTATAGGAATGTGCTTCTGATTTTATATGTGTTCTTGGAGTGGATGCAGAGGAACCCATTTAAAATGACAGTTGCTTGCCTCAAATTTTTGTAAGGTATTTATTCAATTTTGACTCCTATTTCTTTCATATTATTTCTTGTTGGAACTCTTATTTATATTTGATTTCCTATCCATGCTACTCAATAAGTGACAAGCTGTGAATTGGAAATTATGACCTACAGGTATAAGATGAAAGAAATAAGTCAAAAATTAATAACTGGCAATGGTTCTTCTAGAAAATTCAAGATACAACCATTCCTCACTTAACAACTTGTTTAGTAACCACAAACTTATGACTACCTATAAAATCTTATAAAAAAAAGTTTTAAAAATCTAACCTCTCAGTACTATTGTACGTTGCATGAAAACTTTGATCGTGGGAATACATCAACACATAGAAGCAGATTCAAGGAGTCTTATTTACACACACAGTTGATTGTCATTCCCAGCCCAACAGTTTTGATAGGTCATTCTGCTCTGCACTCTTATATTTTTTGTGCACCCCCAATATACAAAATGTTAACAAAACCAAAGAGCATGACTATCCCTGGAGTAAGTGAGAAGAAGCAAAGTAAAATCACTGATCTTGAAATGAAAAATGAAGACTTCATAAAACATATGAAGCTGGGAGAAAAAAAGTTAAAATTGAATGACTTGGTGCATTCAACTGTTTCCATGATTTTGAAAGATAAAGAAAAAAAATGAAAGAAAGAAAAGAGCAAGCACTGAATGAATTCAAGACAATAATAACAAAACAATGAAAAGGCTTAATTCATGAAATGGGGAAAGTTACTGATAATCTGGTTTGATGATTTTCTCAAAAGTTCAGAAAATACTGCTTAACCTTTTAATAATTCAGACAGTCGCACAGTATCTTCAAGACCCTAAAAGGACAGGGAGGATCAAAAGCAACATTTACTGCCAGCAATTATCTGAAACTGGTTGATGCAAACCCATTAATACCTGAAATAGCAGTCAGGTATAGCTTATCTCTTAGCAACTAGCTCATTGGAATGGAACCTGGTCATTAAGTGAGGTGTAGTTGTAATATTAAAAGTCAGATACTTTTATTATCAAAAATGTATGTGATATCTTGTATTACAAGGTTTAAATTTATTGTTTCTTTTCACAGGACAATCAAATCTGTGATCTCAGTGTGGCTTGATACATATCCTGAAGATTTCCGTGAAGAACCAGATTATCCATGTCTTCAGATGTTAGAGAAATTTGCTCAAGAATACATGGAAGACAGGGATCTGGTATTCCGGGCAAAGCACAAGGAAGAACGGTTCAGAAAAGAAGCTCAACAAATTCAGGGTAATTTCTCTGCAAATGTATCTGTTTATCTTTGATTGTTATCATTTGATTTTCTACTTTTGTAATAAAAATCAAGATTTTAAGGTTGTCCTTTTCTATTAATAAGCTACCATCTATTTACCATTATCTATCTTACATATCCTCATAATTTGCACCTCTTGCTCCCTCCTATGTTCTTAAAATAACAACATTTAGTAACCCTCTACCTTGAGTGGCTCTTAGAGCCTTCTATTGGGGGAGCAATAGTAAAAAATAAAAAGATAAACATTAATAAAAAAAATCTTATCTAATAATTCTTCTTGAAACAGTCTTATTTAGAATATTTTATTAACAGTAGTAAAGGTTCTAATACATAAATTATGCTTTTAAAGTGATGGTTTACTTTATAAATTTACAAATCTGTATTGTAAGGGATTTGTTTTTTTTCAAAGATTGCTTTTATTTAATTTTTCAGAAAACAAAATTGAATTCCGATTTTCAATATGCGATGAAGTTGATCACATGATTGATTCAGAGTATCATAAACCACTTGACTTTTTTGAAATCGATAATCAACGATTTGCAGAACAGTTGACATGTAAAGATGCTGTAAGTATACAGAAAGTAATGGGAATTGATTCAAAAAGAATGTTACGTTTAATTTTTGTTCTCTCTCTCTCTCTCTCTCACACACACACACACACACACACACACACACACTTAAAATTATTAAAGAACATGTACTTCTTGGCATTTTCTTAATAAGACTTTTGATGATCTAGGCCAGTAGACATTCATTTCAGATTATATAAATAAACAGGGATATTTACTCAAACATGTACCTACTAAAATATATGCATATATTATTGAATATAAATTATCTTTTTAAATGTTTATTTTGATTTAAAAAATTTAAAAAAACAAAAAAACTACTAATTTTTTGTAAACATAATTGAACATTACTTAAATATTATAGTCACAAAAAGAATGCTTTATTTCATTACTAGCATAATAGAAATCATAGGATTATTATTTATATATGGATTGGTACATTTGCTTCAGATCAGTATCTGTGCCACAGTTGCAAACGTCACTCTCTTGCTTTCTGACTTGGATCAGTGTAGTGTCTGTGCACTATGTATTTGTAAGCTAATTTCATCATACTGCTTAAGCAGTAGGTCACTTACTAGGTTAAATATTAGTGCAGGATTCCCTTTTTAATTTTATATATCTGTGTAACTAAAGTTACAGGCATAAACAAAAAAATACAGAAAATATCATTATTATTATTATCATTATTATTATTATCATTATTAATATATATGATTAAAAATTTTAATTGAAATAACTATAAGAATTTCTAACGTTGAACATTGATTTTATTTTAACAGCAATTGTTCCGAAAAGTTGTCCATCATCATTGCTTAGGAGCTGTATGGGCAAGACGTGATAGGAAAAGCGGTCGTGAGCCACCAACGATTTTGGCTACAATTGAACAGTTCAATCGAGTGTCCTTAAGAGTTACAGCTACAATTCTCAAACAATCAGAGCGTAAGCCAGCCAGGGTGAGAGTAATAACCAAATGGATAGAAATAGCTCAGGTAAGAAAAATGGCTGAAGAAGGTGATAAATCATGTAGCATGCTCTATTATTGTGAAGTGGGATGAAGCACAGATCATTTTACTCTTTACCTGATCAGTTTCCCACCACACCTTTCAGAGTTTAGGGTTAGAGTTTTGGTTTGTTTCTTGTTTTTTTTTTTTTTTGTTTTTTTTTTAATATGTTGTTTTGGTTTGTTTATTTTTTGTTTATTTATTTTTAATTTAATTTATTCCCCCCTCCAATAACTCATTCCTACAAAAAAAAAAATTGTAAAATAAATGTGAATAAAGCAAGGACTTACTTTATTGCTAATTCCATATCTTGTTACTTCAAGTATAAAATTCTTGAAACACAGATACAAGGACACATGTCCCAAAATTACACCGATTCCTGATCTTTAATGACAACTTTATCCAGTGTATTGAAATTATGCTATTTCTGTATTTTACATTTATTTCATTCCATTTAAGACTCTTCTTTCGATACCTTTCAGATTTCTAAAATAACACATAAGACAAACTTATCTTTTTGTATTTCTGGTTCAGTACAAAGTCAAAAGTTTGTTAATAAATGAGTTAACTTATAAATGACAATAAAATATTTTAAATTCCTATCCTTGGAATATACCAGTAAGAGGTTTATGGGATATATTTGGTATGTAACAGAAAGTGAAAAAATATTTAATGATTTTTACTTAGAGATTAAAAAAAAAAAAAAGCATAAAAAACAAAGAAACACACTTTATATCCACATTTATATATTACAAAAACTGTTGAAGATTCATGAATTTGAAAGTATTTATTTATTATTTTTTTTTTAAATATGTAATAAAGAAACTTAAGTTTAATAAAACCATTTCATGGCATATGAATCCTCCCCACAATTTAAGCTGAGAATATTAAGAAAATGTCTTGGATGGCACATAAAATATCATTGGAACTTCATCCATATGCCTATTTGGTCCAGTTCAAAACAAGTTTTTGAACTTTTGAGAAAATTATCATTTTTTCATATACTAGTTTCCTCAGACTAATATCCTCATTTTGGTTGTTATTATCATGTTTCAGTTGATATCAATCTTCCAGTTCAAAACAAGTTTCTTTTGCTTGAATTTTTAAGATGAGTTATCATTATTATATCTTGGTTTCCTCTGGCTAATTCAGCACCCATCACATTCTAGAAGAAAAGAGAGAAAGGAAGATTATATCTGTTTTTATAGTCCTGAAACAGTGCCGCCTAATAGCATCTTGGTAGACCAAGTGGTATAATCACCACAGTTGGTAACCTCCTGGGATTGTTGTGCTGAACTCTTTATTTAGATGAGAACATTTCTTTTTATTCATTTATTACAAATTTATGAATTTCTAATATTTTGAAAGTGTGGGGACATTGGTCTTATATGCCATTAACTCCTTCTTTCTGATAACTAACGGTAAATGGTAACTTAGATTTCAAAAATGACTTAGTTTTCTTACATGTTAAGGAATTCTTAAAAATAAGCAAATAAACAAAATTAGCTCCAATATTTCTAAAATATACATGTAAATGAAGGTATTGACAAAAATGTGTGTGTATGTGTGCACGTTTATTTATATATTAGAGAGTGCAGCTTATATTTTATGTCATAAAGAAACAATTCATACAAAGAATTAAATAGTAATGTTAATATATTAATGGCAAAATCACTTTGCTAACAGAACTTAATGAGACATTAACTTTCTATCAATTCCTTGAATAATAAGATCCTTATATTCGAGTTGTTGTCAAATGGAAGACACATACCAAGCTCTTTGGACAATTTCAAATTGTCAACTTCAGGGCACAATTTTCTTATATATAGGCAAATACTAAAATGAACAATGTGTATATATTTTGAAATCTAAGTTACCAATTTTATATTTGAATATCTTTTAAATATATTAATATCAAACTTTATAGCATAGATCATTTTTAAGTTTGATAAAAATATGTTCTTTAATGCATTTCCTTAAAATGGAAAATGAAGAGAAAGATGCAATCACTATAATTAAAATACAAAAAAAAATGAATGTATAAAAAAAGTGCACAATGCAGCTGTCTTTTATATATATATATATATATATATATATATATATATATATATATATATATATATAAAAGCCATTGTTACTTAATTTATTTGTGTAAACGATTTTATTCTATATATGTTATGATGTGATATTTTATTGTATTTTCTTTTTGTTTACTCACAGGAACTACGAGATCTTAAGAATTTCTCGTCTTTGAAGGCCATTATATCTGGTCTTCAGGCTCATCCAGTTTACCGACTACGCAAAACATGGGCAGCTGTTCCAAAGTGAGTAGATTTTCTTGCAATCATGATCCCCTTTCTTGTTTTTATCGATTGATCAATTTTCAGAAATATGAATCTGTCATTTAAAAGTGAAAAATGTTTATAAACACTTTTTTTTATTTTTATGTTTCACTTTCATTAAATATTATTTTTTGCATTTGATGTACTGAACAAAAATTGTTTAAAAAAACAAAAACAAACTTTTTTTTACATTAAATCTATTGTTTATTCTACTTATTAATATGCCATTAAATCGACTGTCTTGTAAAGTATTGAATAAGTAGATTAAATTAATAAGATTTAAAATTATTTTGCTAATAAAGAAGTAACTTTATTTTATTTCAGAGAAACCATGGCACTTTTTGAGGAACTATCTGAGTTGTGTTCTGAAGAAAACAATCAAATAGCTTCGCGAGAGTTGTTAATGAAGGTAGGAAAGTATTTCAGTTAAATTTTAGTTTTTTATCACACTTTGTTAAAATAATAATAATTTTCAATAAATAGGTAAATATCTGAATTTATGAAAATATGATGATTTGCAAAATTGAATGATAACAAGATTTCCAAAGTTAGGACTAAAGAATATAAAGTATTTTCATTTATTTTGTTTTGTTTTTTTTTTCACTTTTTTAGTCTTAAAATATTAATGCCAGGTTTTAAATTCTATGTAAAACATTATATTGAATAAATGCATTTTTCAAAATGTTTAAAAAACATCAAACATTATCCAGTATTGATATTTGTTCCATCTTAATTTCAATTGCTTTTTATTGCATTTCTCTCATTCTATGCCTGTCAGAATGCAGTTAAGATATATCAGAAAATAGAAAAATAAATAAGTTAAAAAAAATAAGTTAAACAAAAAATGAATAACAAATTGTAATGTTTTATTTAATAATAAATTTTAAATAATCTTAAATGTATCTTACTTTTATTATTTACTATTAATAAAACTTAATCAGAAGTGTCTATTCTTGATTGAATCTTTTAAGGAAATAAAATTATAAAGAGGAACTTTGCTAACTATCAGCATTATTCCTTTCCCCATAAATTGATCATTGTCTACCTTTTCCTTTTACTATTATAAGTATAAATACTTGTGAAAATTTCAGTTTTCCTATTTAAATTTTCTGATGAATCTTAATTCTTAAGTTAAGGATTTAATAAGCTCATGACGAGTTCTATGACAATAAAATGTCCCTAGAAATTCCCCTATCACATCATTAAAGATTTGAGCTTAACAACTTTTAAAAAATACTGCAATCATAAATATGAAAGCTGGTCATTATTTTAAGAAGTAAGGAGATACAAATGAAAAGATTTGAAATTGATAACTTCTCCATTTCACTGAAACAGACATTAAAAACTGCTATGTTCACATCTTTTTTCTTTCATTTTCTCATTGAAACAAAGTAGCGTCTCTGATGTCTTTTACATCTTTCCACAGTGATCTAAATGGAATAGTCCATTATTTATGAGGTATTGGCAAAGTGTAACAGTTGTGCTAACTAAAAGAGAGATAAGAATTATAATACTTTAAATTGTATGGCTTTAGTACAAGACATGTTGGTGCCAGCTTCTATTCTTTTATCTTCATCCAATCTCAAGTCCTTCATGTCAACATTTTTTTCTACCTTGTCCACTTTCTCTTAATTGCCTTGTTTTCTGGTCTAGGCTTGCTCTTTGGCAACCACTTTTAACAGTTTTTCTGTATGCAAAAATAATTCAAGTCTTGGCAAGAATGTAATACTGGCTATATTCTGCATTCATTGGGATTTATTACAATTAGAAAATGGTAAAGGGAATTTAAGTTCTACAGTTGTTGCAGATGAATTTCATTAATATTTAATAAATGTCTGCTTAAATGAGTTCCAAGTTATTTTGGTAATGTTTACCATTTTGTACTGATTGTATGAGAATTTTAAAACTAGATAATTTTTAATTAAACTTAAAATAATTTTTAAACTACTGTTTGTATAATTGCCAACATTTCCATTGAATCTCTTTTTCTTTCTTGCTTTTTTTTATTTTAATGTACAACTAGCTATTTATACAACCAGAGATAGTGGTAGTAGAATTTATTTAACAGATACATTAAGTCTTTGATTCACTCTAAAGATTACATATATAGGAGAAGGTGTTACTTTGTGACTGGTGAAGTTGAGAACTTTTGAAGAAATTTAATTCAACATTTTCAAAAGAAATGAATTTCAACAGGTGGAGGAATTTTACATATATATTTTTATATAGAGTAACAATAAAAAAAGAGAGAAAATATACTTTTGTGTACACAGTTGGAAAAAAGAAGAAAACATGATTTTTGCTTTTGGAAAATGTCTGGTTGGCTGAAATTAAGATGGCCTGCCAGTGAAATAAATCTCACCTGGCAGAGAGAATTCCTTTTTTTTTTTTTTTTTTTTTTTTGCTACTAAATTCCAAAATGAAAGAAGAGCATCTATTGTCCTGTCCTTTTATAGTCTTGAACAGTGCCACCTCACAGAGAAAACAGAGATAATCTCCACACATATATGGTGACACACACCCAATCTTAGAAGTATATGTAGGAAATAAACAGATGCCAAAATTGACTTTAGTATACTTAGTAGGTGAACAAATATAACAAATACAAATTGAAAAAAACTAATCATTTATTATTTGTTTATGTTGTACAAGAATGTTAACTTTAGAATTGTTCTGTTCCCTTCATTAACAGAGAGTTTATAATAGTTCAGTTTTGGTGAATAATGGCTTTAATACAAGATGAAAGCTAGTAATGGGGCTATGAGTAGATGAGAATCTTTGTAGTGACACTAGCAGCTTGTCACAGGGAAATGAATGGAGGAGAATCACCGTAGTGATAACCAGCAGCTGATCAGGGGAGAAATGGATTAGAATCCCTAAGCACCTGCAGCAGGTCATGAGGCTAAGAATGGATGTTAATCTTCACAGTAACATTAATACATAAAAGTGGAATTTGATGATGTGACCAAGTTTTGCAATTTTTTACCTAAAATTTATTTGGGTAAATTTTTGATACTCAGTGTTAGGCATTATAAAATCAGAAAAACAAGTATTTTCAATTGTCAGGAATTAATGCAAACATTATTGCCAGAATGCAATGATTATAATTGCAGGCTTTCATTTTCAGTTACTTATCAGTACAAAAATTATTAAGACATTTTTATGATTATTTAATCTTAATCTTTGTTAAATAAATTGTGGGTCTGTTTAAACCTTATTTTCTATATTTATTGTGTTCAATTCTAATTTTAGAAAAATAAAAGATAAACTGTATGAAAAATTGAATAAAATAACCTATTAGTTGACTAAGTATTCTTCAGTGTACTCTATACTTTATAAATGATTGAACAGGATACTTATTGATTTTGCTGGTTATCAAATGAATCATTGTACTTAAGTATGAGTTCATTTATTCTGATTATTTACTTTTTCTTTTCATTTTTCTCTTTCTTAGGAAGCGACTGCCAAATTTCCTGATTTAGAATGTGGCAATAAAACTCTGAAGAAGAAAAATATGTTAAAGAGGCAGTCATGGATAGATAAGGTGACATTTCCTTTCTTGTTTCTTTCTTTTTATAGCTTTTGTTTGATTTTGATTAAGCATCTCTGATAAATGCTTTGTTAACTTATCTAATGAGTGATACCTGACAGAAGAAAACATTCAAAAAATTTTCTGAAAATAGGCTGAAAACCAGAGCAATTTTAGTGGGGCTGTTAAGCAGTCTTGAATCTTTTCGTTATCTAGGTGCCACAGCTTTTTTTTTTTTTTTCTTGCTTCTTTTTGTTTTTGAAAAATTGAATTTTTTTTTTAATTTGAATGAACATTTCCAAATCCTTTAAGGTAATTTCTGTAAGTTTTCTACTTGACTGATATTGATTAAACCAAATGAACTTATTTACCTAGATAAATTACTCAGTATTTTTAAGCACTACATAGATTATTTTTTTTAATCTAACATTATTTCTGATGACTATAAACGTTTTTTAGCAGCTATATATGTTGGATATCTTTTCTTTTTTTTTCTTTTCTTGTTTTTGTATGAAATTAACATCTGCTGGCCTAGAGATTGAAAATTTTATTAAACAAAAATGTGCCTCTTAACAGAAATTGAACCTATATTCTTTTTAACCTGGGAAGCAGTTTTTCTTAAATAGGCCTTGCTTTGTTGTTATGCCATCTTGTATCAAAGTGGTAAAGCACACATGGGTTGTATGTGTTTCCCTACATTAAAGGGAATACAGGTTCAATTCCTGCGAAGAGGCACATTTTCTTTAATAAGACTTTTTATCTGTAGGCCAGGAGATATTTCATTGTTTAAAAAAATTAAAAAAAAATTTTTTTTTTTTATATATATATATATATATATATATATATATATATATATATATATTAATCTAATTTTGTTTTTTATCTCATGTAGGGAATTATTCAAGGCACAGTACCTTATTTGGGCACCTTCTTAACAGACCTTACCATGATGGACACGGCAATGCCAGACCTCACAGAAAATAATCATATCAACTTTGAAAAACGGCGGAAAGAGTTTGAGGTGCTAGCTCAGATCAAACTCCTGCAATTAGCTGCACAGAATTATCAGTTCAAAGATGATACTCAATTTTGGATGTGGTTTGATGCAATCCGAGTTTATGATGAAAATGAAAGGTAAGTTTCTTTTCTCAATTGTTGGCATCAATTTATTTTTTTAAATTATACATGATCTCATGAGAAGTATTTCATTTTAAATCCTAGATTTATTATTACTGAGACAGATTATCTAGCATGCACAATGATTTAATAAATTTTATCCTAATTATTATTTCACTTAATCCTTTCCTTTAAGGCCAGAAACATACAAATGTGCTTACAAGTTTCACATACATACAGTCCAGAAGCCTCTGAATGTGCCCACCCATAATTATATATTATTGTATGTCAATATACAGTTAACACCTGTCACATAACCAACTGAAGACACTGGAAATCTATAGCAATCTAAAAGTTGTAGATTTTCAAAACCATCTTATGGCCATATCATGTTGAAACACCAGTTCCTGTACAATCACGGAAGTTAAGCAGGCCTGGTCAGTACCTAGATGGGTGACCACTTGAAAATACCAGGTGCTGTAAGCTTGAATGTGTAGGTGGATAATGGCTCGGAATTGTTAATCGGAGAGCTGAGTTCTAATTCCAGTTGAATTCATTATATTCACTTATGCACAAATACCCTTGGGAAAGATATGAATCCACCTCTTCTGCCCCCAGCTATAGGTTATATAACTAAATTATTATTATCTTTCCCCCCCCTAAAAAAACAATCTAAAAATATTTTCTGGCTTTAAATAACTTGCAAAGTGTTGATAAGAAGTAGAAAATGAATCAATCAATCAAAAAAAATTAATCTCGTAGTACCAAGGAGGTTAAGAGTAACCTTTTGTAAAAAGTAACTTCCAACAAAATTAATAAAATTAATTTTTTTTATGTCCCATGTAAATTTTCTGCATTCAGGCTACCTATTTACTGGCATATTTGAGATCAATTTTTTTCTAAAATTTCACAGATTGCATAAAGATCTAGTAATTATATATTTTCTATAATTGATAACTTTTAATCAATTTATTGATAGTAAAAAAGAACTCAACCTAATACCTTAGTTGAAGAAACTAGCAGGGCACCCTGACGATCTACTGCATTATGGGATGATTTAAAATGTGATCCTATAAACTAGCAGGACCCCATGTAAATTACACAGATCTGCTACTAAGTTTTTTTAATGCTGCACTCTGTAATTTTCAACCCATGACCATTCTCAGATAGTTATAAGAAAATTGAAACAGTCTCTCTTAAAAATACTAAAATGTCCTTAACAGATTGTTATGTTACAAAACAGGATTTAACTCCTCACTACAAACAATTGCCTTTATGTAATATGCCCTCCATCTCTGTGTTGCACCCTCTTTTTATCTCTCTCTCTCTCTTTTTGTTTTACTCTCTATACCCTCTGTCTCTCTCTCTTTCCATTTTACTCTCTATGTCCCTCTCTTTTTCTGTTTGCCTCTCAACTAAGTATTACAAGAGTATTAATATATAGATAATAAATATCAAGAGTAGTTGTCCTTTCATACGAACACAAAAACTTACCTGAAAAACATCAATAAGATAACGCAATATTACTTTCTAGATATTTTATCCGTTTTTATTTGCAGTCATGAACTCTCCTGTCTTATAGAACCACCGACAGATGAAGTAAAAATAAAAAAGAAATCTGCTAGGTAAGAGATTTTCGTTTTTTCTTACTATATTTTATGGATTTTTAACAGATAGAATCAAAATGTTATTTGTTTATCTGCTATTTGGATATGGGCAGATAGCCACGTGGTTAAAACATTAGTATTCTGACAATGATGAAGGCACGGTTGAGTAATGGATAGTGGCTCAGATTGAGGAATTGGAGAGCCAGGTTCAAATTCCAGTTTCAGTTTGTTACATTCACTTACCCACAAATACCCTTAAGAAAAGTATGAATCCATCTCTTCTCCTCCCAGCTATAGGTAAATAGCAGTACAGACTGGGTCCTTAGCCTTGGATAGCAATTGGTTTAGGAGAAGGACAATTCTGAATTCAAAGTCGAGTGATTGGTGACAAAACCAGCTCCCTCACCAGGTCCTGGTCTGGTGAAAAGAGTGAGTGGAACACTAGCAACACAAAAAATAAGAGCTGTTAAAGAGCGAATGAACTCCTCAGAATCAATGGCCATCCACCCCAATTAGGATTAAGTAACCTCACCAACCCACAATTGGCCTACACCCACTGAAGACATAGTCAATCATAGAGGGATTCCTCCAACAGGAGTGAGAAGGCCCAGGATTTGGATTTGGTTCTGAGCTGACATCTGCAGTAGGGATTAGTTAGTAACCCTAGCAGACACACATAGTCAGAAAAAATTACATTATTTATATGGAGTCTGACAATCAAAATATATGTCATTTTTTTTAAGTTCTAGGAAAACAACTTATGTTATTCACCAGAAAAAATAAACTTTCTTGAGATACTATCAAAATTGTACCATGTTGTATATTGTTGAGGAGGCCAAAACTGAACTGGCATACTAAGACATTATAAACCAATTTGGTAGACTAAGGCACATCACTTGACATATTTTACACTTAAGGTTTTAAGGGTTAATTAAAATTCCGAATATTAACTAAGAATTTTTAATTTCTATTGCTAGGTCTTTTGAAATAGGAGTTTTAAAATAGAAAATGTTTTTTTTATTTTATTTTGATTTTGTTAAGAATGTATGCTTCTTTTTCTATATGTTGTGAAAGAAAATCAACATCATTTCATTTCATTTAATTTTTATTTTGTTATAAAGCTTAGGACACAGACCTTCAAAATTGGATGGCCCAAGGTTACCACAGTTTATATGTACTCATGATGATGGCCTCAGTGTGACAAGTCTGTCTGATTCTCCTGCCTCTGCATCTACAGGCCCACTAGTAAGTATTTGGTATTGTTATTTCAAATAGAAGCATTTGTCTGCATGCTCATTCTACTTTGACTGAATCTTTTGCTTTGTACTTTTCTTAACTTACTGACTGCAGTCAAAATATTGAAAGTGAAAAATATGCATGAATATTAAGCTAAAGTTTAATTTTACTTAGTTAATTAGGAATATTTTATTCAGTCCTCCTTTCTGAGTAATATGAGAGGATGCTGAAAAGTTTACAGCTCAGTTCACTTCCCCAAATTATTATTTCAATGACCAAACATCAGATTTTGGAAAGTGGATCTTAAATAAAACTTTTTCCTGCTTTTCTAGTTTTCTCTAATAATTTCATGTTAAAAACAAGATGATCAATGTTCTTGCTTTTAAGATAAGTAGCAGATTCATGAGATAAAACAGTTTTTTGTTTCATTATATAAAATAGACAACAGAATTAATGAATGAATTTAGTGGATTGATTTTATAACACATAAATCTATTACTTTAACCCAAGATTTAAATATCTATTCAGACTTATTAAATCAGTCCTATCATCTTCAAGTATTTTTTTTACTTAACCTTATCTCTAACCTAAGAAAACTTATATATTTAAATATTTTTAAAAATTTCTCTTTCTGACTAAATCCTTATTTACATGACTTCATGATCTTTTAATAAATAAAGCTTACTTTGTTTTGTTTTTTTTTTAATCAAAAAAAATCCAAACTCCAAACTTTTACAAGTGCTTGCATTTGATATATTAGATTGAGTTATAAATAATTTCCATTTTTGTTTTATCAACTTTATTTTAATTTTTTTTATTAATTTCACCACAAGAAGGGCAGTAAAGGCATTAAGATACAAGGAGTTACTGAGTGTGAAAGAATAAGAAAGAAAAAAAAAGAAACATTAAGTAGTGAGAAAAATAGAAGAGTAACCAAGAAGACAGTAGATAACGATTCACTTTTCATTTAAATTTTTGAAGATCAAAGTTGGCTGGAAAGCATTGGACCAAAAGAGAGACCCACAAGTGAAAAGTGCGAGAAAAGAAACTGTTAGCATGTAACTTACAGTTACATCTAGCCAATTCAATTGCAAATTGATGAGACCTTTTGTTAAAAAAAATAAAGTACAATTACATGCTATTGGATTATATATATTCACCTTTATTTGCAATGACTTGTTGCCAATTATCAGGCAGCTCTTCAATACATTTTTTGTAAAATTCAGCACATTTTGATGTGAAAATGTTTTCAATAAACTCTTAAATCTGCTATTCATTATAGAAGGTTTTTTTCCCATCAAAACGTTTTACAGCAATTGAAAAATAGTAATAATTAGTTAGTGTAAGGTCAGGTAAAATTTGACAGGTGGGTTAGAACAAACCAAGATTTAAAGTTATTTCCTGTGTTATTTTTTATGTATGTGCATTATCTTGGATGAGAACAGCATTTTTCCTAATGACAAGTATAGGACACTTTCAACCAAACTTTCATGGACATGTTGCAGCTACTGGACACATAAATCTGCATTTAATGTTATTTAGTATGTAAACCATTTCTCCTCATCTGTTATGATATATTTAAGGAACAGTTAGGATGATACATTTGTCATTAGAATTGGTTTCCAAAAAAAGAAATTGTTTATGATTCAACCTAATATTATGAAATATCCTCAAACATGGCAATTACTTTTCTTTTGCCACTATTTTATATATATTGACATTGTAGCCAACACCCAGAGGCGACAGTCTGTTTCATGCTAAACACAATCATCAGGCATGAAACAAACTGTCACCTCTGGATGTTGACTTCAATGTCAACTTTTAAATTTACATATGCTCTATCCCTGATATGGAGCATTTTAATCCATAAATATAGCATACCTTAAAACTATATTTTATTTTATATATATATATATATATATATATATATATATATATTATGGGCTCTTCTTTTTGACATATGAGGGTTCATCTGCCCAGTTCTTAGAACCAAACAGCCAAACTACCTACAGTGGGGAAGCTTGTGCAGTACCAGCCCCACTTTTTGGAAGAACCGAAAGCAGTGCACATCATGTGCCACAAAATCTCTAAATGACTTTCGTCAGGTTTTGAATTCAGTAGTCCTTCTTCTACATTGGTTACCAACCAAAGCTAGTACCCAGTCCACCCTGCTATTTAAACCATAAAGAAGGGATGGTTTCATACCTTTCCCAAGGGTATTTGCATGTAAGTGAATGTAACAAACTCAGCCCTCTGATTTCTCATTACAAGTCACTATTCATTACATCACTGTACATCCAGACATATAAATGCAATGATTAAAAGTAGGACAGTTAACAACTTAATCTAATATATTCTATTAGTAACACATAACTGTTTTATTCTCATATTTTGTTCCTTAGAAAGCTTTCATCATCTTACACTTATTGAAGATATTAGCACAGAAGATGTAAATACGTTTGTATTTTAAAATATTGTTGCTGGTGCATTGAATAGCTTTCTGATTTCTCACATGATTAATAAAGGATTTGAGTGTCATTAAATTTTTCTTATTTTATGCCAAGCTTGACTCATTTGAAAGATATAAATATAAATAAAGTGCATTGAAGCAACAGGAATTCATCCAAACAAATTTTATTAAATAACCATGACAAAGTCTGTCTACTCAAGTTTTTATATTGTCTTTCCAATTTCCCCACTGAGGTGTTTTACATTGGGATTATCCTTGGATTATATGATTTTTCTTTCACTGGGATCATCGAAGGATAATCCTGATGTAAAACACCTCAGTCAGAAATTGGAAATTCAATATAAAAACTTGAATAGACAGATCCTGTTGATGTTATTTAATGAAATTTGTTTACTTAGCAGTAATAGAATGTAAATTGATCTGACTATTGCAATAAAAAAAACAAACAAAATAAGATGAAAGAAAAACTGTTTAAAAATTAATAATGAAAATGCTACCGTTAAGAAATTTGGACAATTTACTTGTCTGTTTGTAAGTAACTTCATTTATTTATCATAATATAAATATCATTTCAAAACTAAATTTAACTAAATGAAAAATATTTGTCTTTTAATAATTTTAGTAATTTTTCAAAGTTTTATGTATTTAAATATTTATTTATTTCATTGAGAATAGTTAACTTTTGCAAATATTTTTTAAGGAATATATTTTCTCTTGGATTTAAGTCATTTCATTATTCTTAAAAACTAAAACAAATATGTATTTATTAAATTAAACAATAATTACTACAAAAATTCAATTACGGTATAAATGAGTTTATTAATATATTTATACTGATGTTTTTTGGTATAAATTTTAGTAATTGGGATATTTTCAGTTTTTCTCCTGAAATAAGTCTTGGAAATTTGCTGTGTGATGGTTAGGGTTTTCGTAGGCCTATGTTAACCCCAGAGAAAGTATTGTAAATTGAATTCCCGTATGTTAGGCAAATTTTCAAAACTTATTTCGGGAAAAAATTGCATCCTTGATGCCAGCAAATAATGTAAATCCAGTTTGTCAATATTCTAATCTCTAGCTTTCAAATTCTGCATGTTCCTACATAGCCTCATTTTTTGTTTACTGTGTTTGTGCATTGTGCTTTTTTTTTCTTTTCTTTTTGAAATACTTTATTTTCAATTTTCATAACTAAAATTCCTGCCTGTTCTTGTACTGATGCTAGCATGTGTCACTACGTCTATTTCTTTGCATCTTTTTTTGTAACTGTATTCATTTTAATAGACAAGGGAGAGTATTAGTTACAGGAGAGAATAACAAAACAAAATAATGTAATTTAAAATTATAAACTTATTCAAAGTTGCTCATAATTGAACTATTTCAAATTAAGGTTATTGCAGCTTTTAAAAAAAAATTATTTTTTTTTCTCTTTATCCTCATGAAGAAGCTCTTTTTAATCGAGCTATGCCATTTGTGATTCCTGTCCATATCCACAAAGTGACTAGCCAATTGTTTTAATCCCTAAATAACTATGTGTAAGCTGAGCATTTTTTGAGGATGTCTTAGAATGAGAAATTCAGCAGTCCACAGCCTGACATATTGTTATCAACCAAATTTTGATCTGAAATTTTCACTGATTATTGGATCTAAGGAAATAGATGATGAAAAATATTTATTAGGAACAATAATTTTCTTTTTCATCATAAAGTTATGGACTTATTGATATACTTACATATGTAGAATAATGTTAACAGATGCTAGATGTATGTTGAGAAAATAGTTACACATTGAGTTTTTAATTTTTAATTTCTTTTTTTGTTCAGTTATTTTTTTTAATTTGGTACTTTTTGCAAGATTATGATTTGATCATTATTTTCTTTTAAAACAAATTCAGTTTATTTTTGTAAGAATGTATTCATTTTTTTTTTTTATCTGAGAGTATTTTGCCAAAGCACTCGCACAATTATTTGGTCTTCACTTTGCATGTCACTTCAGCATTTTGAATATTACCTTTATTTTTTTTTTAATTTATCAACATGCAACATGAAATCTGTTCTCTTTTGAAATTTAAAAATGCAGAAATCTTTGTTACTTGTGGTAAAAATGAATTTACAGAATATTCTAACCCCTACATAATGATTATACATTTAAAGCTGTCTTTAACTCTGAGAAATTTACAAATAAAAATCCTATTTTCATATCTCATAGAACAAACTTGTTGATTAATATGAATGCAGTAATAGTAAATAAGTGTTCAACGTTAATTCTCTACTGATGTTAATCTGTTTTGTCATTGTCTTCTAACTTGTGCATGCATTTTCTAACACTTATGTACTAAAGTAACTTACCTTGCTTCTTTTCTTTTGTTATTGCTTTCTCAGTTCTGAACCCTCTTTCTGTTATATCCTGGTACTATCCATTTTATTTGGGTTAGCATTTTTAGATGTAGGATGTCGTTTTGGTATTGTGTATTGACCAAAGCTGACATGATCACTATCATTCAGATTGGCTTGAGTCGCCTTAACACTGATCAGGAGAAGAAGATGTCAGTGAAAAGTGAAACCATCAAGTACAGTGCATGCCTCCCACTTGCTGTATCACTACTGCCAACCAAGATAGCCAATGGAAATGCAGCTTCGCAAAATCCTGCTCTTACCAAGGTACCTATTCCCCACCCCACAAACACCTCACATTTGGTTTTGGAATTGTTAATCACATACGGATGATTTCATCCAGCCTATTTCACTTGTTGTATGCATTGCATCTAAATTCATATATATATATATATATATATATATATATATATATATATACAAGAGTGTGATGAAAAGTTCTTTGCTCAACCAAGAACCCTACCTCCCCCCACCACCCAAAAAAAGAAGAAAAATAATTGATATTTGTTCATGAGGTCCTAATTTTAGAAGAGGGTTGGGCTAAGAATTTTCCTGCACCCCTTGTATATACATGCATATGTAAGTGCATCACTAAGTTTGTAGCCTAATCATAAAAACCTATTTATTTTTAAACATAATCTCTTGTTAATGCATTTAACCCAATGCTTTTTCATTAATTTCATAGATCAAATACTGTACAGTAAGAATTTCAGATCAGATGTTAATAACTGTGCCAGGCTACAGATATATTGACTTACTCCTCTCATTTTATATATAATATATATATAAATCCTTCTTTCATGCACATTTCATTGAATACGACAGATAAGGTGATTTTATTTAGTTTTTTATATAATTTCTCATGCGATCTAATAATTTTTTCTTTTCAGATGATAAATTATATAAAAACTGTCATAATGTTCTTTTTATCTGAGTGCTTGTTGACAACACAAATATAATAGCATCATCTACATGCAAAAAAAGCTAAAAATAATGAAAGCCTTATTAATAAAAAAAAAACACTTAATATCAACTATGAACATGGACACAATATCTTGACTGTGTTTTGAATAATGAAAACATTATATAAATACATATCTGCAACAAGCTATTTCTTATTTCACAATTAAAATATTTAATCCTTGAAAATGGCTAAATGTATAGCCGAAAGCACTGATAAAAAGAACATTCAGACAGTTTTTATATAATTTATCATCTGAAAAGAAAAAATTATTAGATTGCATGAGAAATTGTATAAAAAACTAAATAAAAGCACCTTGTCGTATTCAATGAAATGTGTGTGTATATATATATATATATATATATATATATATATATATATATATATATATATATATATACACACACACACACATTTCATTGAATTATTGTTCCTTATCATTTGGTGCAACTATGAGTTTCATGCACATGGCAATCATCAGGCATGGATTAAAAATTGGTTAGTTTTTAATCTGTGCTTGATCATTGCCACAGTTGTACTATTATACACTGAACACTGTTTTATTACCACCAGCACTCAGTATGCACTCATTTATATATAATATTCTTATTACTGCATTATTTTTAGTGTGTACATATGTTTGAATAGTTATCCCTATTTTTTATTTTCTTAAACAGTGAAATTAATAAAAATCTTAATTTCGCTGTTTTGGAAAATAAAAAAAAGCAGTGATAGCAACTCAAATGTGTGTAAAAATGACATTGATAAAAAATAATGTCAGATTAAAAAATCCATTTAAAAATGTGTATGAAATTAAAGCTTAAAAATGACATTTGGATAAGCAAGTAAAATTTTAAAAGTATTTTCAAGTAATTGTCACAAGAGAAATATCCTAATGTTGTATTCCCTTCTATTTGTCATGCTGATATGTTTAATGTCTCCAGTTCTAAAATGAGATATCATTTTTATCCCATAATCCCTTTATGCAAATAATTCATGCTATGACATTTTCCTTCGTTTTAGTATTTATTCTTTCAATTTTTCATGCTCTTGTGGACAGATTCTTTTGAATTGTCTGTGAAACTCATAAATCTTAAAATTCTGTTTAAAACAAATAGTTCTATCATTCAAGGACATTAAACACTAGACTTTTTTTTCCTTTTAGATAATATATATGAGAATCACTCCAAAAATAATGCTTCCTATTTTATTATATTAGACAATGATATCAAAGAAAGAGTTTGGTAGTATGGCAGTAGTTTAACCTTCCAACTAATAATCACCTGCCACCATTCATTTTTATTTGCCTTGTTATGGATAGCAGTTTAGCAAAATAGCTTCTGATATGAAATTGCATACAAAGCAAAAGTGTATCATTGAATTCCTATATGGGGAAATCTTTGCTTGCTGAGCATTTTCAGAGATCAAATAGTGGATGTGAGCACAGTTAAGTGGTGAGTAAAGTTTCAGCTGTTGTGATAGTAGTGTGTATGATAAGCCACAGACCTGTTTAGCTGACAACCCACAAAATCAAGAGTACCTCAAAAATGCTTGACCAGTGTTAGTGGTTATATGGAAAAATAGTTTTGTAGCTGAAAGTTTTCTCTAGCCAATTATAATATTATTGTAGTTGCTGTGGAAATAAATAGGAAGCATTAATTTTAGAGCATCCTTTGAAATTTGACTATGTAGATATATAAATAAATCTGGATAAACCTGAACCTTCGCGCATGCAAAAAAAAAAGTGTCAAAAGGACAGCTTTCCTTTCACACTGCTATTATTTTAACTACCTTCACTCCTTGGCAATGTTCGTTTTAAAAAACAATGATTAGAATTGTAATAAAACCTAAACATACAATGAAAGTGCACTTATACATTTTTTTTGTTTTCTTCTTGGGAATTTACAACAAAATTATTAAACATTATTTATTTATTAGAATTTTTTTTTTTTTTTTGTTACCAGAATAATTTTATATTTACAACATTCTAAAACCTAATACAATTAAAACTAATGCAAATCACTATTTATCATTTACCAATTTCATAAATTTATAAACATTTACTAAATTATTAAAATATGTGAACCAACCATAAGGAAGTCTTTATTTACCATTTTATAAAATTTGAAGCAATTAGCCAATGTTCTGCCAACCATTCCAATAAACAATATAGTAAATAATGTAATTAAACCATATAATAAATAGTGTTTATTATTTTTGTTGTAAATTCTCAAGAACAAAGAAAATGTATAAACTGACTTTCATATGTTTAGGTTTTATTAAAATTCTAATCATTGCTTTTAAAACGGTAACTTAAATATTGCCAAGGAGTGGAGGTAGTTAAAATAATAGTGGTGTCAAGGGAAAAAAAACATCCTCTTGACACTCTTTTTTTTTTCCAAACACAAAGGTTCAAGATTGCCTAATAATAAAAAAAAGCATTTATTTTCGAACATAATTTTCTTCCTGGCCAATGTATTCACCTTTGTAGTGATTATTAATCATAGATCAAACAGTACACTGTGAAATTTGGATAATAACTATGTATCGGGCTACAGACTTATTGATCCATCCTTTTTGCTTTTTATAAATAAGAAAGTTGTTCTTTGTACTCTAAACCTCTTGAATAAATGTGGAGTATCAAATAAGATAGGGGAGTCTTTTAGTTTCTAAAAATTCAATAAAAGTGTGAGTACTTTGTTTTTATGAAGATAGAAAAAAAAAAGTGGGTGATAACTGGTTGCCATCATGGAATTTTGATAAATGGGAGTGAGTATCTTAATTTTAAGAAGTTTAATAAGTATTCTCCCAGTTTCTTCAAGAGGCAAGAGTAAATTGCGAGTTATTTGTATACAGTTGTTGATTTAAGATTAGATAATTTTGTTTTGTTAAGCATTTATCAATCCATCAACTTTATAAACAAAGAGTTTTTAAAATCTATTATTATCATTAAAATTATTATAATTAAAAATTGGTGTTGTAATGTTTTTCTTCATAAGATTTGACAGATAAAATTTTACAGTCAAATTATAGTTATAATTTCTATCATCTTTAGAACCTAATTAGATTAGACATATCACTTAGCTTTCTAAAATGTACATTTCTTATTAGTGTTGGGTATGACAATAAACCACATCCGTCAGCAAGGTCTCTGATGGAGGTTTTGAGGAGTGTGGAACCACCTCTTAATTGCTGTTGTTATTAGGTCCATCCTGACTCAAAGTGGTAGCACCTGTTAGGATTCCAGCTATGGGGAAAATAGTGTTTTGATTTTTGTTTGTTAGTTCACTAAGAAAGTATGAAAATATATTATGGTAAAAATAGCAGCAATATATTTATAAAAAAAAAACTGACCAGTTGTAATACATTTCTATAGTAAAGTGACAATGCAGCACTAAAGTATAAAAATATATTTTTATTATAAAATTACCAGCAATACATTTTATTATCTACAAACTATATATATATATATATATATATATATATATATATATATATATATATATATAAACATGTTTACTCTGAAAGTATAAAATTATCTGTAGATTTTGGCATTAAATAACCCATAAAGGTGTTGATATGCTGTTAAACAAAAACAATCAACCAACTCTTCTTATGAATACAAAATACATACATACCAATAAAATTTTGAAAAAGAAAATGAACTGAATTTGGTAGGTATCCTATTGTAATTTAAAGACTAAATTTCATAGATGTTAGGATTTATTGAGGGGATTTATAATGTTCAAATCTTGTCTGCCTTGTGATATATTTGCTTATTCCTATATTAAAGATTTTGTTGATCTTTGTTTTCATTTATTCTCTGGTGCTTGATTTGTTTTTCTTCTATGTGTGCCAATGCCATTTATGAAATATGCATATTTTTGCCTGAGTTCAAATGTATATTTAAACAAAGGTTGAGTCCTACTAAAACTTATTTCTGATTATATAGCCAACACATACACAGAGGGTTCTAGTTAAATAAAACATCTGTTATAAGAAATAACTTTTTAAGTTAGATTGTCTTTGTAATGCAAATCTGTTTAAAAGAAACAATCCTTTATAAGAACCAAAATTTATAGTCCCAGAGTATTCCACTTAAATGATATCTAGCTTGTTTTTTTCTTTCACTTCTGTTTTTGAAAACATTGATCACAAGATAGAAATCTTAATTTAAAAATTAAAAAAAAAAATATTCACTCTATTAATTGTTAAAAATTCAGGTGTCATTATTCAAGTGTTTATTTGTTAAAAATAGGGATAAATACATTTTTCAAAATGTTTTGGAAATCTTAAAACATTCTACTGTATATACTTATGTATAAGCTGACTCCATGTATAGTGCAACCCTGAATTTTTTTTGTTTGTGAATTTTAATCCCTTCAAAAAATTCACCTGTCAACCAGTCACTGTAAATGCAAAATTTTTTTTTTTTAACCTTTTCAAAAAAGTTACCTCTGTATAGCATCCCTCCTTTTTTTTACATAAAAATCTGATCATAAAAACTTGCACTATACCCGAGTTTATATAGTACTTCTAATTGGTCTTCAGAATGTTTTAGCTGGTTCTGTTATTGTATTTGGAACCTTGACTATTTAACAAACAATTTTTCACCTTAATGTAATTAAGGGAATTGTTAAAAGTAATTTTTATAGATTAGACTTTGATACAGCTAAAAAATAAAACAAAAATCTGTTAATTTTCCAGAATTTTAAGTGAAAGGATTAGAAACTTAGCTCAAAAAATAAATGAAAATTTATTACTTTATAATAATAAAATAATGAAAGTTTATTACTTTCATAGTTAGTGCCACTTTTAATGAACCAATAATTAAGTACATTATAAACATTATTGATTAATAAATATTAATTACAATATGAGAAACAAAAAAGAATATCGTTGACATTGCTTTAAAAATGTCAACTTACATTCAAAAATACAAGGGTTGATTGATACATGAAAACTTAATCTTATAAAATAGGTTTTAGACCAGATAAAATAATAAAACTGGTATGAAAATGAAGGAAATTTATTTCTCTTCAAAGTTTATAAATTTATTTCTCAATATAATCGCCATTTAGTCATTCACAAAAGAAAATTTCTGATTTACTTTTTATCTAATTGTTTCTGGCAACTTTGGGATCAGACAAAAAATATTGACTTTTCAACACCACTTTCAACTTTAGGAGTAACCAGAAGTCTGATGCTGGAAAATCCCTAAGGTTGTTAGAGGGTGTGTAATAAATGAAAATTTCATTCTTTTTATTGATTGCTAACAACATTGTTGCCATACAAAAAAAAAAGAAAAAAAGTTCTTCTTTCAGGCCTTGTTCTGTGAATGCAATTTTTGAGAGGTGCCAAAACTTCTATCACTGATAACTGCTTTTATACATGACATCTGACATCATAACTAACAGATGTTATTACTCAATGCTGTCATGTGACAAAGAGAAAGTAAACATGTTTGGCCAGGACTTTATATACTACAAAATAAATGCTCAGACCTTTATTTATCTTCACTATGAGCAACACCGCATGCTTTAGGACATTTTACTTACATATCAACCTTTGTATTTTCTGATATTTATACATTAATAGTATAGAAAATTTGTAGTTGAGCTAAGTTTCTAATCCTTTCACTTAAAATTCTGGAAAATTAACAGATTTTTGTTTTATAAAAGTTATGTATACATACCTTTTACTTATATTAAGTCATTAATATTGTTCAGTAATAGTTGAAATAAGAAAACTTGGTTGCTATTATAAATTTTAATTGTTTTAATTAAGCTAACAACAAAAATAGGTAGCAGATATAACTAGATGGGAAAATAATTATGTCATCATGATGTTGACGTTATCATATTATTTTAACTACCTTCACTCCGTGGCAATATTTATTGTTTTAAAAAGCAATGATTAGAATTAAAAAATATGAAAGTGAATTTATACATTTTGTTTGTTCTTGAGAATTTACAACAAAAATATTAAACATTTATTAGGTTGTTTATTCACAAGAAGAATTATATATTTATAACATTCTAAAAACTAATGCAATGCAATATTTATCATTTGTCAATTTATAAAGAAATAAATATGAAAACAATTTTTTATTCATAAATTTATACTAACTTATAAAAATATGTGAACTCCTTATTTACCATTTTATAAAGTTCATATTGATTAGCAATTAGCCAATGTTTTGCAATCATTCCAATAAAGCATCTAATAATTAAAAGTGTTTTATATTCTTGTTGTAAATTCTCAAGAACAAACAAAATGTATAAATTCACTTTCATATGTTTAGGTTTCATTGCAATTCTAATCATCATTTTTAAAACAATAAACATTGCTGAGAAGTAAAGGTAGTTAAAATAATAGCAGTGTCAAGGGAATAACTGCCTTTTTGACATTCCATTTTTTTGTGGGGGGACTTGAAGATTAAACATTACTAAATGTTTCCTGTATGGAAACACCTGATCTCACCATTAATATTAGTTTCATAATAAATGTAGAGAAATTACCATTTTACTTGTTACTAAAAGAGTCAAGAATAAAAATGAAACGGTTAAATCAGTGCATTTGAAGTCTTGAAGAGTTTCTCAAATAACAAAAATTCTCACTTTTTCAACAACTGCTTTCTCCCTAGTGCTTTGCCTCCTGTCTTATATGTGTCTTAAGTGTCACAGTATGCTGTCACCTAAATCTAATGAAATTCTAGTCAGCCTTCAATTTGAAATGTTGCTTAGCAACCCAGTTTATGACACAACATTGAAAAATAGTTGTGATTCTAGTCATGGCAATATGCTTATGAAAGCAAAGCCTTGTAAAGATAGAAATGTCTTCTCTATTATTCCATGTTCATAGATTATTCTTTTACTCAATCTCATAATAAACTGCTGGTGCAACAGATTATAATTCCCTAAGACATTGGGTTGCCATTTCAATAATAATTGAAATTTTGATTGAGTAAAACATGATTTTATTTCTATCATGTTCTTCCATTGACTTAGGTTTATTTGCAATAAATTAATAATCTGATTATTGGTAATATTAGCCGTTTCCTTATAAAGAGACATTTGGCATTTGTTGACTGAGCAGCCAGTGCTACTTTCAGTTGAAATTTATAAAATCTTTCACTCGAAACAATTTTTCAGGAAAATCTGTTTCTCAAGTCTAGTAACTGTTATTGTTCTTTCCTGTATTAATGGGGGAGGGCTTCCTTCTTAACCTTTTATTCAAAGTAGTGTGTAACATCCACATTTTGATTATGCCATTATTTTCTCTTTGAGAAATGTGCTATCCATTTTAGTTGTTGCCGCTATTGAAATTCTTCAAATGATGCAGTTTCTCTTATTTGGTACAGTTCTTAGTGATTTTGTAGTGCCAGTCCATGAAGTTCAAAAAAGGATACTTGATAGTTAATCATGATTTCTAAAATTGCTCTCTCTTGTCAAAATTTCTAAAATTGCTCTCCTTTCTCAAATAGATAAATTTTTTTTTTTAATTTTTAAATGCCATGTACCTTCATGATGTAGGCAATTATGTCTCTCCACAGATTCCTCTTTATTATCTGCAAACTGCCATGCCTTCTTGGGAAAGATGGTGGAGTGGTTTCCTGTTGCTTTATCTAGAGTTTTTCTTCTCTTAGAGAGATGCCCAGTCTTCCCTGCTATTTAACCCATAGATGGGGAAAAGAAACTGATTCATCATTCCAAGGGCATTTGTGCAAAAATGAATGGAACACTATTTATTATTTCTGAAATAGTATTTTTTATTTTGTTTTTGTTATCACTATTATTTTTATTGGTAAACTTTAAAAAAATTGTTTTCTTAGTGCAAGAAAAAAATAGTCTTACAACATTTACAAAAGTCTCATTTTTTTGTGCTGCTTTTGTTGTTACCCCCAGTGTTTCAGAATCCATTCCACATTACTTCTTCAGGTATATAAACAGTTAGGGTGAGCAGAAACTGGCAGCTGAACCAATTGATCTGCTTGGTAAATTAGTGACTAATTTTTATTTATCATATTGTTCTGTTAAAAAATAAAAATTCTTACAGATTATAAACCTAAAGAAAGAAAGATACAGAATAGATTAGCTGACATGTAACATAAGCAGCACAAAGAATAAATTTAGTTATCTAAAAAAAATTTTTTTTCAAAATTAATTCACATTTATTTTATAATTCACTGGAATTGTGTGTGTGTAAGAGAGAGCATACTATTCATATAGGATGTCAAACTGATCATTTTATATGGATATATTTCTCAATTGCTCATATATATGATTATAAATGAGATTTTACATTAAATTAGTTATGTAGTGTTTACACAGTTCTGATCTGAAGCAGCATGTAGTCCATCTGTTTACATTATTGAATATAAGTCTGTTGTTTTAAAACAAGAAATATAAATATGTTGTTTTAAATCAAGAAATGAACTGATCAGCTATTTAACAAATATAGACAAACCTTTTACCTTTTTTAGTAAAATGTTTGAATAAATATCTAAACTGTCAGCTCTATACAGCCACTTTCTAAGATCAATGGTTAATGATTTTGAGCATGTGAAACCTGTGGGTCTTGGCAAAGACCATTCTTCTTCAAACATTGTGGGTTGGTGCTACAGAATCATAAAGAAAGAACTGTACCAAATAACAAGAACTACATGACTTGAGAAATTTCAGCAGCAGCAACAACTAAAATAGCGCATGCAACTCAAAAAAAAAAAAAAAAAAAAAAAATAATCTAGATGTTAACGTTCCATGCTACATCAAATAAAAGGTTTAAAAAGGAAACCCATATCAATACCAGAAAGTGTGATAACAGATACTGTACTTGAGAAATTATTTTGAATTATCTTGAAAAATTATTTTAAGGGAAAGATTTTATAAATGTCAATTGGCTGCTCAGTCAATGAATGCCAAATGTTTCCTTATAAGGAAACTGCTAATATAACCTTTTATGTTGCTACTCAGTATCAGAATTCTTATATTTGTATTGCTTACTTTTTATTTGTAGATTTCTCATTCATCTTCTGCATCCTCATTACTGTCATCTGATAGTGACATAACTTCACCATATCGTTTTCCCGATTCCTGCATTATCAAAGTTAGTGTACAGACTGGAGAAAGCTGTGGAAGCCATGTCTATAAAAGTATTATGGTAAGTCTACTCATTTAGTTTATCAATTCATGCTTTTTATTTGAGGTTTTTGTATGGAGATATTTCATTAGTCTAGTTTGAAATCTTACCCACAATGTGTGTTCAACCCAAAAGGCATTTATCCCAACAGAAACTATACATTAGTTTTATAAGTAAATTAGTATTTTGACCAATACTTAGCCATTGGTTGTTTTATGTAAGAATTAGTATTCGTGTTGCTTAAATAATTGCTTTGAAATGTCTTTTGTTTCTATTTATTAGAATTGGGTCTAATAAACAGTGAAGATATTTCGATGTAACTAAGTTGGTAGAATTAGAAAAAATTTTGAATACAGTATTAAAAAATAGCATATTTAATGATTCTTTTTAGGTTTTTGAGTTGCATCATTAGTGGAGTTGGTAAGATTTAGTCAAATTTGAGTACAGCTGCTTTTAAAAATCATGTAATAGAATAATTTGTGTTACTTGTGAGATGGTTGAAAATAAAAGGGAATCACTCTTACATAACAAATCTGATAATGTTTAACATTCATATCCACCAAAAAGAAAAAAGAAGAAAGGTGTCAAAAGGGCAGTTTTTCTCTTGCCAAGGGAATATACGATACTCTCTTGGCAAATTTTATTGTTTTAAAAAAGCTATATTTAGAAGTTTAATAAAATCCCAAACATGAAAATGGATTTCTGCATTCTTTTTTCTTGAGAATTGACAACAAAAATATTAAGAACTATTATTGGACCTTACTCAAGACACACCATTTATCAGAATCATTTTAGAAGTGAGAAGATCTTGTTAATAATATTATTGTAGTGTAAAACCAGTCTGACATTTTAGTTATCAGTACTTAGTTTTATTTACATTGACAAGTTTCAAACTACATATATCATTATTAACTGCATACTATTATGAATTTGGAAAAAAGGACATCAGTAGTACATATTTATCAAGTATGTAAGAGTTTCAAACTTGACATTTGTAAATAAAAACAAAGTCCAGATAACTCTTTAAGAAGTTGGGCACCAATTTAACACTGTATTTTTATTATGAACAAGGACCCCCTCCATCTAAAATGATTTTTTTAAAAAATCAATATTTTTTTTATTCTTATAAATGTTGCTTGAGGAGGGCCCTACAAAAATGATCCCCACACCCATGATTCCCTCTTCTTTTACAAGCACAAGTGGATCAGTCAATTTTATTAGTGCTATAAAGACTTAACAAAATATGTTGATATTTTTTGACAGCAGGGGTTTTGTAATAAATATCATGATGTGATTGAATAAAACATTTTTAAATATTGAAGATCTGTTAGGACAAAGTTTTTTTTTTTTTTTTTTAAAGTACTGTTTTCCTGAATTGGAAAGATTAACATCAAAGACATCTTTAAATTGGCAGTTTCTCAACCAAATATTGTTTTTAAAATATTCTTTTGTCAATTGCAACTAAGAAATGTATTTTAATTTTTATCTCCCTTTAGCTCAGTAATACAGATCATACTCATACTGTCATCAAGAAATCTTTGGAAAAATACTCTATTGAAGGCTCGCATGAAGATTATACCTTGTCTCAGATTCTTCCCGATAGAGGTAAGTTTTTAAGATAATTTACTAGTAAAGCTATCCCAATAAATAAACAAAATCTCTGGGAGGGAAATAAAAAAAAAAAAAATAATGTATATTTAATTTTGCATAAGATTCTTTTTAAAACTCGTACCCACCATCCCATTTTAGGGTGATAGGCATTAATCATATAATTATGACTACAATTCAGATAAGCAAGCAATCTTAGTACAATGATATTCGATTTTTTTTTTTTTTCTTTGTAGAAACCTATAATTAATATCAAGTTTTTTTTTTCCGAAGAAACCTGGGTTTTATGCTGATTCTTTTTTTATAATTAATGCTAGGTTTTATGTTAATTTTCTTATAGTTAAACCTGGGTTTATGTTAATTCTCTATAATTAATAGTGGATTTGTATTTTAACTTTTATAATACCGGATTTTTATTTTATTTTCATATTTGATACTGGATTTTACAGTGGACATTAAGGAGTTAATTAAGCATAATATAGATAACTTTTTTCTTTTTTTGCTTATTTCTATTGATTTTTATGTATATTTCTAAGATTTAATATAATTTATTATTTTATTTATTTTTCAGAACTCTTGATACCCTCTAAAGCAAATGTATTTTATGCTATGAACAACAGCAATACAAATGATGACTTGAACTTTGTTGTTCGTACTAAGTCTTGTCAGGAGGCATTGACCAAAAAACGCAAATCTCGGGGTAAATTCAAGAAGCTGAGTTTGTAACAGACTCCTTCATTCTCTGTTTCCAACACCACTGCTGCCACCGCCGCCGCCACCACCACCACCACCACCACCACCAAACTTGCCCATCCCACAAATGTGAAAAATATTATCCCACTTGTCCAAAATGCTACCCATTTAAAACTTAGCACTCCTTTCCTTTTAAAAACATATACTAAAGTGAAACAAAGTATTAGAATGTTTTCTTTTTTCCTCTGCTGAAAAACGTGCTCAATAGTAGCAATTTATTCGTTTTTGTCTTAATTCTGATCATCATCTGTTATCATCTTTATCATTTTTATCAATTTTGAGAAACAAGGTCTTTATGCGTCATTTTTATCCTACAGTTCATTGTCGAACCTTATAGTCTCCCATTTTGTATCCCATTTGCCCATCCCAACCCTAAATCCTGATAAAAAAAATTATTTTAATCAAATCTCTAAAAGTGCTTATATTTTAAATTTTTTTTACTACTTTACTTTGATATTCAAACTATTTATTGAATATTTTGTATTATTTAAGTGCTAGAATTTGATTTCATATTTTTGAATTGGATTTTTTTTGTTTCTTGAAATTTCTATAGCTGACTCAGTTTCACAATAACTGAAGTGTTAAAAAAACAACAAATAAAAAAATAAAAACAAACAATGAACAACTTTAAAATTCCTCTATACTTACATATATAAATAAATATATTTTTTGTGCTTGCTGCATCAGCACACATTCTGAGATTTGCCATCTTGTACACACTTTATAAGCACAAATGCTGTGTTGATAGCATTTGCTGCAATATGACTTGTGCACACTTTGTGCTGAATGCTGTCAAATTTCTGTCTGACAGCCACCGGCATCTTTTTGCTCAATATGTTTAATTTAAATCTACTTAGCTACATGTGAAGCTTCTTGGTCTGTATTCTCAGCCAACCACAAACTGATGATAGAATTCCTTTTATAGAATATATCATTAGATTTGTTTATGTCTCATGTTAAAACAGTTCTATCATTTAAGATGCCTTGCATTGTTATGGTCTTGTATTGCTTTCCAATGCATAGCCTACCAGCACAGAAACTCCTTCTGTCTGCTAATGCCATCTTGTTTAGCCTTTTCGATTATTCAGGTTATCTATGGATTAGATTAATGACTCCAAAAGAGAACCTGTTACCTCACCGTGCCTTCCCATTGAAGTCTTTTTTGCTGTTAGTCTCTACCTTCATTCATGTGCTTACATGTTGACCAATCTGTGTGAAATAATGAAGAATAAATCAGTCTTCCAAATAAATAACTCTAGCAAATAAGAAAATCCAAACTTGGCAAGTTTGTTTTTTTTGTTTTTTTAAATTTGATGCTAGCAATATATTTACCTCTCACTGTTTTTGGCACAACAGTTTCTGCCCAACTGTTGGAGACCATTTCATTATTCACAGCTAACTACTGAAATCAATTTTTTTTTTTTTTTTTTTTTTTTTTTTCACCACAAAAATATGAGGGGGTGGTTGAAAGTTATTTGTCCAATGCACTTCATAAAATTAGTATTTTAATGACCAAACATCAGACTTCTGATTTTTGGGGAGTGGACCAGGTGAATAAATTTTCAGCTCCCACCTTGTAGCATCATTTAAAAAAAAATAAAAATACAGGCTGGTTCATTATTTTTTATCTTTAAAGAATTTTTGCTTTATAGCAATTAATTTTAGCAAAATAGTTTAAGAAAATCAAGAAAACTCTGTCTTTGCTTTTTAAAAAGGGTTTCCGCTAAAATTGCTCTTTTTAATTTTTCTTAAGAAAAATATGTTGTAATTAATGATTTTTTTTTTTTTCAAACATCCAAGTCTGCAAAATTTCTACTCAGAAAAATAATATAAAAAAAATAACCTTATCTTTTAGTTAAGACAAATAAAATGACTACAATTCAAATAAGGAAACAACCGTAGTACAATAAAATATATCTGTTTGAGTTATTGCAGTTATTATTTATACTGTGTATCATTTTTCTTATTAAATCAGTGCTTGGCATAAAACTAAAAGAACAAAAAAAACTGGCTTTTAACAGTAATTAAGTCTTCTTTGGAATTAATTGTATACAGTTTTTAAGTTAAAGGTATGGCAATTTATTTACAATTCTTTAAACAATGTTTTCACAATTGTAAATCTTGTTTTATACTGTTTAAAATAGATTCTGACACTTATTTCAATTTGTTTCCTGTTTTATATATAAACATCCTGAGAACCTTATTTGTTGGCAGGTAAACAGTTTATTTATTTATTTTCTAATTTTAGACATCATTCTGCCTTTTTTTTTTTTTTTTTTAACCTAAAACAAAATATGATAGGTAATGATTTAACTCTGGTTGTGCACATTTAAAGGCATTAGCAGGCTAATTGCAGGGGTTCTTTATATCCTTCTTAAAGTTGTTTGGCCATAACTCCAGATAGTTTATTTAAATTTAAACCTGGGTGATAGATTTTTTTGAAATTTTCTTTTAAAATTATCTTCTTTTTTTTTTTAAAAAAAAAAAAAACCCAAAATATTTTCATTTTACTCATAAAATAATAATTTTAAACTTTATCTTTCTTGTGGCCAGTTCTTTTTAATTTGTTGGAAGTGAAAAATAAATTGACCTCCTGATGAAATACACAAACATATTGCTATATGGAAATGAAAGAAAAACAACGAATGCTTATCTGAATATTCCACAAATACGTGATGTCAATTAATTCTTTTTGGTTAATTTAAAAATCTAGTCTGCATTCACATTGAAACCGCAAACTTTCTAGTCATAGTAAATATCAAAATATATTGAATTTTATAATCATTCAATTAAAAGGTGGAGAAAATTTTGTTTGATTAAAAAAAAAAAAAAAAATAATAAAATATATATATAATATTATCAGGATTTATTTTTCTGGTGGATTCTTTTCCTGTCTACAAGTTCCTTTCTACATTCAAGTATAACTGCCTTTTTGTTCCTGCCACATTCCTTGTACTCCTCACTGTGATATGTCCACATAATTTGCCTTTCCATGGCATACCAAAGATTATTTATTATGTTATGTGTAATACTGTATCAATACCAACAGTTTTTGCTTTTTTTTTTCTCTTAGTTTCTTCTCAGTTTCTGATGTACAGGCTGCCTTGGTAACTGCTTAGATACAATTTTCAGGCATTTTCATTGTGAATATTCTATGAATTCTGAATCAGTATATTCCACTTACTAAATGGACCAAAACATTTTTCCTGCCCTTATTGAGGAAAAAAATGCTTATGTTCGTTTTATACACATATATTGCACATCAGAATGCTTTCTCAGTGATATCTGTTCTGGGGTCATAGAAAGTTTCAGGCCTCCATGACATCAGACTTTCTCTCCAATGGGCCCAGCCAAGAGCAATCATTTCTCGACTAACATTCTGGCATAGCTTGCACATGATTGCAAAAATTGTAACATTTGTGCCTATTTAGCATGTTTGGAAACCTTTTCTGTTTAAATAGTATTTCCAAGATGTTTGACTACAGGTGCCAATTTAAATATATTGGTTTACTTATGTTCCTTTTTTATCTTCCATGTTGGCTGTAGTCTGAAAACCATTCAAAGAGTCTAGTATCATCTCTATAAATACCAACATTCCATTCTTCTACTATTTAGTTAACATACAATCACTGAAGTTAAGCAATGTCAGGCTTGGTTCCTATTTAGATGGGTAACCGCTTGGGAATATTAAGTGCTGTAAGCTTGCATGTGTGGCTGGTGTAATGGATAATGACTCAGAATTGTAAATTGGGCCACTAAGTTCCAATTTCAGGTGGGCTCCTTATATTCACTTATGTACATTACCCTTGGGAAAGGCATGAATCCATCTCTTCTCGCTCCCATGCTATGGGATGGATAACAATACAAACTGGCTCCTATGGCCTTGGTTGACAACCGGTCAACCCACTGCGGGAAAATCTTCTGCCTAGTCAGTCATGAATCGAAAGAGACATGATCATCCAAGTGTATATGGCATTTGGCACTTAACTGACTGACTGATATAATAAAAAATTTCATATTTACTTAGATACAACAGACATTTGTTTTCATTTTTTAATGACAACCATGGAAAAAAAATTAAGAAGCCACTAATTGTACATAATGCCTACACTTTATTGCTGTCCTTCATTAGGCAAATTTTTAATTAAAACTTTCATTATGCAATTTAATCTGAAAAACATTTGTAGCAAATCCATAAATTCACCAAGCTGTTTTACTTATTATATTAACCACCATAGAATCTGTAAACAGAAACACATATTAAAGCACATAAATTAAAAAAGATGTCTTTGTGCTTCTGAATTTGTCTTATAAAGCACTTAAACTTTTTAAAAATAATGTATTTTTATCTCAATTCATTGTAATATAATTTAAAGCTTTCAGTGTAAACTTTGAAGACGAAACATTTTATTTTTATGCTAATTATATTTTAATTAGTCAGTCACATGAAAAGTTTATTACATGGAATGTTGCCAAAAATATTGTCTCAATATTTATTGTAAGAATTTCTTTTTCAATTAAAACTTCTCGAATTAATTAAACCGAGTTTAAATATTAATTAAATAATTATGTAAACCTTTTCTGAAAAACTATTTTAATTTACTTCTATAGTTTCACAAACTGAATAATAAAAAAAAAATCATGTTTGTGTAACTTAGTTTCAGAGTTCAGTGTAACTCATGAAGTTAATTAAGCCAAATATTTCATTTACAAGCAATATCATTGGAATCCAGTTTTCCAGTTCTATCCCTCATAAACTACTGCAAATGTTTCCCATTTCAATATTATGATTACTCTATTTTTATTTAATAAATATGAATTGCATAATTTACTGTTGATTACCACCTTTTTCATGGATAATCATAAGATTATCATTTGTTTTTCATCAGTGTTCACTCTTAACTGCTGCAACACTTGTAATTGCAAGACCAATGGTTGTTTTGCATCTACTGCTGTTATATCATCTTTGAATT